AGATACCCCTATTTCCAGAAGCTAGAAATTGAGAAGGCGGTAAGAGAACTAATGAACAAAGGGCATATACAAACCAACACCAGCCCATTTTCATCCCCTGTACTCCTAGTAAAAAAGAAGGATGGTAGTTGGCGGTTTTGTGTAGATTACCGGGCCATGAATCAGATTACAGTGAAGGACAAGTTCCTGATACCCCTCATTGATGAACTGCTGGATGAGTTAGGAGAAGCACAAGTGTTCTCCAAACTGGACTTGCGATCCGGGTATCATCAGATCCGGGTTCACCAGGCCGGCATCCACAAGACCGCTTTCCGAACCCATGATGGCCATTATGAGTTTCTGGTTATGCCGTTTGGGCTCACAAACACCCCCTCCATCTTCCAAGCCCTTATGGATGACATTTTCAGGCCTTTCTTATGGCAATTTGTTTTAGTATTCTTCGATGACATTCTGGTTTACAGCAAGGACTGGGGCACCCATATGGAACATCTGAGACTTACCCTCACCACTCTAAAGGAACATCAGTTACATGCCAAAATGACCAAGTGTTCTTTTGGACAAAAACAGATACAATACTTAGGCCATGTGGTTGCAGCAGGGCGGGTCATGGCAGACCCAGAAAAGATAGATGCCATCCAAAAATGGCCCAAGCCCACTACTGTAAAGGCTTTCAGGGGTTTCCTTGGGCTTACAGGGGGTATTATAGGCGTTTCATTAAGGGGTATGGGCTCATGTCCGCCCCTCTAACGCGCCTGTTGAAGAAGGATTCTTTCAGCTGGGTTGATGAAGCCCAACGGGCCTTTGAAGACTTGAAGACAGCAGTTTCGAGCCCTCCAGTCCTTAYTCTTCTAGATTTCACTCAGCCCTTTGAGATTGAGTGTGATGCCTCAGGTGCAGGGGTGGGGGCCGTTCTGATGCAGAGGGGACAACCCATTGCTTACTTCAGCAAGGTCTTATCATCCGCCCACCAGAACCAGTCCATTTATGTCAAGGAGATGATGGCAGTGGTAATGGCAGTCCAGAAATGGCGTACATATCTATTGGGATGCCAATTTATCATAAAGTCAGACCAACAAAGTCTGAAGTATATAGCAGAACAAAGAGTGCACACCTTAGAGCAGCAAAAGTGGCTTAGTAAACTGATGGGCTTTGACAACCGAATAGAGTATAAACCTGGGCCTGCTAACAGGGTAGCTGATGCCTTATCACGGGTGGAAGAGTTGGCCCAACTAACCTTCTCTCAACCCAGTTTTCCCTTGTTTGAAGCCATAAGGCAAGAAGCAAGGACTGATCTGCAACTGCAAGACATTAGGGAAAAATTGAGGCAGAACCCTTCCTAGGTTGCAGGGTACCAAATTGTGGGACCAAACCTTTTCTTTAAGGGCCGGTTCGTGATTGCTCCAAATTCCAGCCACAAAACTGAACTATTGAAGTTGTTTCATGATTCCTCTTTGGGAGGACATTCAGGAGTGCTAAGGACTCTAAAGAGGCTTAGCAGCCACTACCATTGGGTAGGTATGCGCAAGGACGTGTTACACTATGTATCTGAATGCCAGACCTGTCAACGACAGAAATACTCCTCACAGTCTTCCGCGGGCCTCCTACAGCCCCTCAAGATTCCAGAGCAAGTATGGGAAGACCTCTCCATGGACTTCATCACCAGACTTTCCCGTTCTTTAGGGAAGGAAGTTATCATGGTAGTAGTTGACCGTCTCACCAAGTATAGCCATTTCTCTGCCCTGCCTCACCCTTACACCGCAACAACGGTGGCTGACATCTTCATACGGGACGTCGCAAAATTGCATGGGACACCAACATCCATTGTCTCGGACTGTGACCCTGCCTTCCTGAGTTCATTCTGGAAGGAATACTTCCGATTGCAAGGAACCCAACTGCACCCATCCACAAGTTACCACCCCCAGACGGATGGACAGACTGAAGTTCTTAATCGRTGCTTAGAAGCCTACCTGAGRTGCTTCATAGGGGAGAAGCCCAAACAGTGGGCYCACTGGCTTCCGTGGGCAGAATACTGGTACAACACAACTTATCAGTCAACAGCAGGAATGACACCCTTCAAGGCTCTATATGGCAGAGAACCTCCTCCCATATTACCTTATGAATTTGGGTCGGCTAAGATGGCAGGAGTAGAGACTCGCCTACTGGCAAGAGATGAGATCCTTAGACTGCTCAAGGCCAACTTGACTAAAGCCCAGCAAAAGATGAAGGCCTACTATGACTCTCACCACCGCCCACTAGAGTTTCAGGTAGGTGATTTTGTCTACCTTAAGCTCCAACCTTACCGCCAGGTCTCAGTGATGAGACGGGCTTGGCACAAGCTAGCTCCCAGATATTATGGGCCCTATAAGGTGCTGGAGAGAGTGGGCCTTGTTGCTTACAGATTGGACCTCCCTGCTACCTCGAAGCTACACCCGGTATTTCACATTTCACTTCTCAGGAAAGCTGTGGGGAATCATACCCCTATCTCACCCAACTTACCCCAATTTATAGATGAAGGGGACATTTACATGGAGCCTGTCAAGATTGTGGATTTCCGATGGGTTCGGCGAGGAGGGCAGGTGGTGCCAGAAGCCAAGGTTGAATGGGCCGGACTGCCTCTAGAAGAGGCCACATGGGAACCTTATCTAAGGCTGAATGAGAGGTTTCCCAACCTAGACCTTGAGGGCAAGGTCTGTGCTAAGGGGGGAGGAACTGTTGAGACCCAAAAACCCCCTCCAGAACCCACTAGGGGAGTGGAGCAGGCCACCACCTATCAGCCTTTCACAAGAAGACAGAGGAGCCAGGCGGCAGAGCCCCAGAATTAGTTACACTCAGAGTTGGTTACTCTGCCACCTGAAAATATTCCACCCATGTTATCTGCCAGAGTTGGTTATCCAGAAATCAGAGGATATTCCCTTTGATATTACACCTGTAGGCCAGCTATATAAGGCCATCATCATATAATGAAAGCAATGAATGATTCTCCCTTAATTTTCTTCTCCCTGATTCCAGTTTCTTCCTTCCCTCCCTTCTCTCTTTTCTCTCCATCTTCTGTTTCAGGAGGTCAAGCCTCCCTCGAAGAGGTTTCCGAGGTGAGCGGAAACTCACCAGTTTGTTTGTTCATGCTTCAATGCACGGCTGTGGTTACTTTTTCTATTTTCTTGAAAGGAATTTTTGTTTGCTACTAGATTAACCAAACAAGAAAAAACTAAACCAGTGATAAGAAAAACAGAGAATAAAGGTACTGGTGGACACATTCTACTTAGTTACCAGTTACCACTCTCTCTATTCCCAAAGAACTGTAAGTCCTAAGATATTCTGTTTCAGAAGGGCATTTTCTTGGTTGTTTGTATATTTGTTATTTTCTTGATTTATCCTGTTCTAGTTTTCTTATTTTTGATTACGCGAGTGCTAAAATTATTCATGGTAAGAAAATAAAAATGCCCGATGTTGGTCCCAGTTATCTGGTCCTGGTAGGCGTAGACTGGATACAGTCCTAACCTTTGGCCTTTTTTTTTTGCACAAAGTGGCTGCTCTTAGAGATTCATGGTAAGAAGATGCATAACCTAAATGCTGAAATTCTTAGTGTTTTTAATACTAAATCTCTTTTTCCCTGTTTATTGTCTTTTTCTTATTTTTCTCCTGTTTTGGTTAAATTTTCACAATTGCCACAATTTGTGCACTTAGAGTCTGTTCTTGGATTTCAGCTACTGATAATTTTGGCAAGTTCTATCTGAACTTGTTAAGTTTATTTATGCAATGTGAAATAATGGATGGCAGAAATTGAAATTTGTATCACTCCCATTACATGTCTGTGTTTCTTTTGCATCTCTTTGTCTTAAAAAATGATGGATATTAGAAACCTTTGTATGTTAGTATTCACTGGGTTGATTGCAATATTTGCATCTCAGATTCATGAAATGGCAATGGTCTCAGCTGTCCAGGAGGCACAGAGAGATAACCTTAGAAGTTTCAATGATTACATGATGCAAGTTTTGGAGGTTTGTGTACTTCTATTTCATGTTTCATGCAAGCTTTACCTCAGTTACTTACCACAAGTGCATTTACTTTCTAATGTTGGAAACATTTATTGATAAAAAACATGGTATGGGAAGTGTTTTGACCAATCAAAACCCACCAATGAATTTTGGTAAATAACACCTGATTGGCTACCACGCTTATGATTCCAGTTGATTGGTCAGACATTTTTCAGATATCATATCTTTCTGTTATCATAGTCGAATCCTTTATTAATAGACAAGAAATAAATGAAGAAAGGCTATGCAAGCTACATCCCTCTTCTGCCTTTAATCATTCAGTGATAGTTTGTGAATCCCCCATTTGTATGCATAGCTCTGAAACCCAAATTCCTTGCCAATCACAGATCTTGAGTGTCGCTTAAACTTGGAGTTCTTCCCTTGTTGAACCCCTTACCCTACCCCTACTGGACCTCTGATAGCAAATAAAGTTCTGCCCAGGCTACAGCAACCAAAATTCAACTTTGTTCAATTTTCAGGGGTGGAGTTCATGCTATTGAATGCCTTTCTCTTCTTGAAATTGAAGATGCTATTTCCTCCATTTGCCACCCTCTAAGGATAGCAACAACAACAAAGCATGAGAGTTTCTTTGTTTTTACCCAATGTATAAACCTAATTTTCATCTTGTCAGTTGGGTCTTCTTTAGATTTGGTTGTACTTGAAAAGATTCTCATGTTTTATGGTTGCTCTCATGCATCTCCATAGCAACTTCCTTGTATTGGTCTTTGGGGAGAAAAATTGTCTGGGTAAAGTTCCCATACTATTAGTAAGATTTTACCTTTCACCAAATAAAGAGAGAATATTCCCAAATGCTGTTACAAAAGATCAGTGATTTAAAAGGCTTGCCTAGGCGCACAAGTGAGGTGCATTTTGGGGTATACGCCTCGCCCAGGTCCTAGGTGCACCCCTTTCAAAAGGCGCACACCTAGTGCGCCTGGTGTGCCTTGTGCCTCAGCCCAGGCGTGCACCTTTTTAAAATTTTGCGCTTTTTGTTTTTTTTTTTTTTTGAGTCTAACGGCTGGGCTGGGGGCTCCGTTCCCCGGACCCCCGATCACGCCCCTCGAGGCAAGCCTGAACAAGAATGCAATATGTTTTACATCACATTAGCTACTTGAAGCAATGCAATTAAGGAAAAAAGAGATTGTGGGTTTTACATGTGTGAAAATGCTTTATATATTTGCTTTTGTTTTTAAATTTTGCATTTGAATACGCTTTACATGTTATGCTTATTTATTTTAATTTTAGACAATAGGTTTTTTAAAACATTTATTTTAAATTTTAAGTTTATATTTTTTATTAACATTATGTTTATTATTCTTTTGATTTTTTTGCATTTCTTTTTAATTTTTTTTGGCATTTTTTGAATTTTCTGACTTTTTTTGATTTTTCTTCTTTTTTTTTTGTAATTTTGCACCTTGCTTAAAAAGGCGTGTGCCTCGCCTTGTGCCTTAGGTGCAAATTGGCACTTGCGCTTTTAAAACACTGCAAAAGATGAGGAGATTAGTAGGTGGTCTGCTGATTCTCCACTTCCCATCTATGATACCCAGATACCTATGCAAAGGTGCAATATCATGTTGGATACTTCAACTTTTAGTGCACATTTTGTAATTGATACCGTTTTCAGCTGTATCTGTGCCATATCTGGGTAACGTATCTTGCCATGCAAACAATGCAAATATGGGGTGAAAGTACCCAAGTAAGCTTTCTTCTTGGGTTGCAAATAAAGTGTCCAAGAATGCCTTTGTTCTTGTTGCTCCCATTGGAGTTGAATTTGACTTGAATAAATTATTAGTCACTGGAATTTTAGTACAACTATTTGCATAACAATTTGATGATTTATAAACTTGAGGCAATTATATTTTACTCACGGCGCTTTCGAGTTCTGACCACTATTATACTGTTTTATGCGTAAACAGGAGGATTGGCAAAAGGAAAAGCGGGACTTTCTGCAAAGCTTGAGCCGACTTTCAACATTACCCAAGACCAACAGCAGTGCTTTAGGAACTGGGGTTACCCGACCTGGTCAAATGGTGTCCATAGCTTCTATCCCTCAGGTCTCTGCCAGTCAATCCAGTATGGAGCTTGTGCCTGTGGTTGACAAGCCTATCCTTGAAAAGAAGGCTTCAGCATATGCTGTAGTTGTAAGGAATCTCAATGATACAAGAGAACGTGGGTTACCTTTTAAGGTGTGGATTGGTTCTCTTTGTACCACCCAACTCCTACATTCTGTTGAAAGAACATTCTACTCTGTCTGTCTTTAATTTGTTCACCTCTTTAGATGCAATCATGTCTTATATTTTCAATTCAACATTCTTTTTGGAATAAGGCAGTGGGCTATGCATTAATAATGTATGGAAAACTGTATTGTGGTTTTATGTGGTTCATTGTGTTATTTAGAAAATTTATGTGTCCAAAATAATTTATTTACTGTTTTATTTCTTCTGGCTAGCCTGCTACTGCTTTCAAGGTTGCTTATGAAGGTTTAGGCCTTGATGTTCCTGGTGGAAAATCAGTTAGCATGCAGAAGATATGGCACTTAATTCAGGTACGCTTCCAATTAATTTTTAGTTTTTTTTTCAGAAATGTGATCCTGAGCAACTTTATTATTGTCTTTGTTATGTTTCTCTTTTATATATTCTAGGACTCCTGTTTATGAAAAATTTACACTGCTTTGTTCCTTTATTTGATTTTAGACATTGATGGGGGAGGATTTGGCTATTCCACACAATGTTTCAAGAAAAATGGCATTAGTGATTGGTGCAAAGCGCCACCTGGAATGGGGGCATGAGAAGTATATCATGGACACAATTCAAAGTCACCCTGCACAGGTAAGAAACTCGTGTAAATTTATTGGCTTTGAAATGTTGGTCTTTGTTAACTCTGTTCTGCTATACCCCCCCCACCCC